AGAAGGATCTGGGTACTGAAATGGCCAGCCTGCAGTCCATATCTTTCACCCATAGAAAACATTTGGTGCATCATAAAGAGGAAGATGCGGCAAAGAAGACCTAAGACAGTTGAGCAACTAGAAGCCTGTATTAGACAAGAATGGGACAACATTCCTATTCCTAAACTTGAGCAACTTGTCTCCTCAGTCCCCAGACGTTTGCAGACTGTTATAAAAAGAAGAGGGGATGCCACACAGTGGTAAACATGGCCTTGTCCCAACTTTTTTGAGATGTGTTGATGCCATGAAATTTAAAATCAACTTATTTTTCCCTTAAAATGATACATTTTCTCAGTTTAAACATTTGATATGTCATCTATGTTGTATTCTGAATAAAATATTGCAATTTGAAACTTCCACATCATTGCATTCTGTTTTTATTCACAATTTGTACAGTGTCCCAACTTTTTTGGAATTGGGTTTGTACAATGCAAAACGTTTGGGATCAGTAAGATTTTTAGTATGCTTATCAAGGCTGCATTTATTTTATCAAAAGACAGAAAAATACTTAAATTTTGTGAAATATTACAATTTAAAATAACAGTTTTCTATTTTAATGTTCTTTAAAATTACATTTATTCCTGTGAAGCAAGGCTGAATTTTCAGCATTGTTACTCCAGTCTTCAGTGTCACATGATCCTTCAGAAATCATTCTAATATGCTGATTTATAATCAATGCTGAAAACCGTTTTGCTGCTTAATATTTTTTTGGACCTGTGATACTTTTTTCAGGATTCTTTGATGAATAAAAAAAGAAACATAAATAAAATCGATAAATAAAAAGAACAGCGTTCAAATGTCAAGTGTTCACACACACACACACACACACACATATATATATAAACATTGGACAAAAAACTGGACATTTGTACTTTCGGATAATTGAACATTCCTTTATATGGGAATGTTAGCAAAACGGTCTTGGAGCATATTTTTGTTAGCTGGGAAATTAACTGCATCTTGTTTTGGTATATGAACATTGAACACAAACTGCCTTCTCTGATAAACTGTAAACAGAAAACACGATCTACAATAGAGACTAAATGTTTCATCTAAACATTTTGTGCTATATTAGGACAGTAAACAAATCCAGAAAAAGATTACCCTAGTGAGAGACAAGCGAAAAGAACAAACAAAACAGATCCCCAAAACTCAGTACTGGTGCTAATCAGCGTCTCGATACAATGAGCATGCGCGGACACAAGAACAGTGACACACGAGCTGCTCCACACAGGCAGCGATGCTTGTTACTATAGCAACAACCTCTTGCGCACATCCGCCGCCTCCACCAACGTCTCCTCTTCCCCACCGCACAACAGCATCCCTCTGTCAACAGGATATTTCCTGAGACGGAAATACGACGGGGGAAGGAATATGGCGCTCATCCCATCACAGATCCTCAGAGTAGCGATACTCCTCTCTTATTTTTCCATCCTCTGCAATTACAAAGCCATAGACATGCCCGCGCATCAAACATACGGTGGTAGCTGGAAGTTTCTTACGTTCATAGATTTGGTAAGTGCATGTGCATCGTTCCCATGCATTGCCTGATGTATATTTATATGACATCTCCATAATGCATTAGACAGGCCCCTGTTATGCTGAAATATGCAGGTTCCTGCAAAAAGGAGTCCAAACGCCAACACAAATAGTCTTAGGTCATATTTACGGAGCATTAAACGTTAATCACATGACGTAATGACTTTTTAAATCTCTAATGATGATGTCATGCTTTTCATATCTCACATCCTCATTAATAATGAATCTTCTTCTGAAGGCTTGTGCAGAATTACCAGCAGTTCATAGGAGGACAAATTAAGGGTGCATTTACAGTTTTTATATATAAACTGAAGCATCCTTTTCTTTTGTTCTGGCACCATAAGGGACCAGTCTGTTCGAGTAAATGCAGGTCACATTAGGCACCAGAAACTGCATGCACGCACATATGCATTGACTGTTATGACAGTCTGTGAGCCAATGACTCATGCTTTCCACATAAACAGCCCATTTTCTCCCCCTTTTTCGAAGAGTGATTTTTAATAGCAATAAAAGTTGTTTTGTTACACTTCACATTTACACATCTGTTCCAGTGCACTGTTTGCTCTTTTTTCTTCATTCTTGTTTGGGAATAATCTCGTGCACAGATATGTTCTGTGCAGAAGTGTTCGGATAATTGTGGATGGAGCTTTTCAAACCTTATGCTGTTTCATAACACTTTTTCTCAGAATCCTTAGTACTTATTTGAAATTGCAGCGCACTCTAGTCACTGTACTACAATCAACATATAAAACTATTGTGCAAAAGTGTGGGCTCAGTAAGATTTTTTCATTTATTTGCAAGGATGCATTAAATTGAATAAAGTGACAGTGAAGACATTTATAATGTTACAAGATATTACTGTTTCAAATAAAACTATTCATCAAAGAAACCTGAAAAAATTAGAAATGTTACTTTCTTATCTGCCAAAATAGTCGTGCCCCAAACTTTCATTCATTGCACATCAAATAAATGTACAAAAATAGTTATTTTAATAGTTTTGGTAACCTAAAAAACACAGTGATGAATGACAGTTATAGGTTTATTCATAAACTCTTTCATTGTCTATAAGCACAGAAAAACTAGACTCAGTTTCACCTACAACCATAAAGAGATAGGAAAGTGATTTATTGTTTGCGCTGCTTTGTGTAATAGTATAATGATTCATTATGACAGCATTTAAGGACCTCTGACACCACTCATAGCATTGCTATAATGAACCTGCATGATGAGGCTGTGTGAAACTAATATTAGAACAGACGATAAACACATGTCACGTTCAGAGAGGCAGATTATCTCATCTTGGCACAAGAAATGCAAGTACGTCTGGATCAAATGCTTGCACTCACTAGCCACAACTGATCTAGTCCACTGAAGAATCGTTGCATTTATTAACACTCTAAGTAACTACCATTGTGTTAACTGTGATTTTAGCCATTTATGTTTTCATCGGGCTTCATTAATTATTAAATACAGGGGTTCAGATTTGGCTTTCCATTCTCACAATAGGACACTTGAGGAGCCTGGCATAGAACTGATCTCTCAGTGTCATACATAAAGTGCCTGGTCAAGTGTGGCCGAAAGCTTTCAGTGATCTGACAATGAGATACCCATGGATTAATCAGCAGAGTTTAATTAGCACAGATGCACAGGTTTTCTGAGTGTATCATTACTGTGATGAAAGGTAGCCTATATTTTTGTGAGAGCAGTTGCTATGTTGCAAACGCTTTGTAACTTTAATTCTAAAATCTTTGATTTTAAGACAAATAGGGTTGGAAAAAGTCTGTTCACAGTCTGAAAAGGAGCATTTGAATGCATAGCGTCTGAACTAATACAATTGCACATTGTTTTATGACATTTATTTTAATCATGAATGCTAAATGTTATTACCTTAATTTTCTAAGACTGTCTTGCAAGCCACTGTTTCGGCAGTATACTGTAGTGGTCTGTTGTTTGATAAGAACTGAGGTTTCCTAGCCCTATTATTATTATTTCCAGCCTCAAACAAGCAATTCACTAGATTTCATGGAGACTTGAGTCTCAGTCCAGGAATCCTTGTGGTTGTTTATAAGCACAAAATACGACTTTGTATAGCTAATAAATTATTTAATGCCTCTATTGGCTTCATGTCCTTACACTGTGGCTGTTTTTTAACTCTCAAATGATATGAGAAAAGGATGAGTGTCCATTTTTAGCTCAGCTAAAACAAAGATCAAAAGCCGTAGTGAGGGTAGAGTGAGAAAAATAGATAATTTTAGGCGGCTGGTAATAGGGATTTAAGACTTTTCCAATAAAAGATTGGTTTTCGACAAATTTAACATTTATATGAAGCCTTAGCAGGGCTTCTCCTGTCTTCAGACACCAGGAAACAAATTTAGGAGCAGAAAGATAATGAGGAATGAAATATTAAAGAGTGCATTAATGGGAGACTTTTTTGCATGTTGGATATCTGTGGAGGAGATATAATAAAGAAACCCTCATAATTCCATAATGTCTTTCCATCTTAAATTAATGTCAAAGAACACTCTCATCACGAATGTTCACTAATGGAAAATGGGCAAAAAAAAAGAAGACATATTAGCTTAAGACGAGAAATAGGTTATGGAGGAAAGGTTGTGTATTAAATTATTCCAATGGCAGTTTTCTTGCAGCCTGTCATGCATTGTAACATTTTAAAGCTTGTCAACTGTATCTGTATATTGTTCTGTTTCCTGTGATGTGAGTTTGTTTGCTCTTGGAAAATGATGGCACTTAGAAATACTCATATTCTATTTTGAGACAACCAAAGATGAATGCATGGCTTTCATCAAGTTTCCCTTCAACTTCCCCTTGTGTCCCTTTTATAAGACAGCTTTGATTTACATGTCAATGAGAGGCCTTCCAAAAAAAAACAAAAAAACACACACATTGAAATTTTATATCATTTATTTATAACAAAAGTGGACCAAGCTACATCTCAGTCAGTTTTGCCTGCTCTTTTCAGTTAGGGCTTAAATTAATATTTAACCTAAATAAATTAGAAATTTTGTACAAAAAAATAAATAAAATAATAATAATTGATTTACCCTCAGGCCATCCAAGATGTAGATGAGTTTGTTTGTTCATCTGAAATTTAGCATTACATCACTTGCTCACCAGTGGATTCTCTGCAGTGAATGGGTGCCGTCAGAATGAGAGTTCAAACAGCTGATGAAACATTATAATAATTCACAAGTAATCCACACAACCCCAGTTTATCAATTATATATACTAATCTCTGACATTTTGAACTCTGACGGCTAATATCTTAAAAGTTATACTGTGAGATATTGCTACAATTTAAAATAACTTTTAATTTATTTTACAATGTAAAAGTCAAAATGTCACATCATTGTTTTTAGAAGCTGCATTTACAAATTTGATGGGACATGTGTCCCATTTCTTCTGGGTATACAACATTACCTTTTCCTAACCAGTGTGTTATGATTCCCCATGTCAGGTCATTCAGGCGGTGTTCTTTGGAGTGTGTGTCCTGACTGACCTCTCAAGCCTTTTGACAAAAGGCAGTGCCAGTATGGAGCAAGAGAGACAGTTGAGGAAGCTGATTAGCTTACGAGACTGGATGATGGCTGTTCTGGCCTTTCCTGTTGGTGCGGTATGTATAAACCACCAATCAGATTTCTTGTTTTGCATATGTTTCGTTTTGTACACTGTCTGAACTGACTGAGATCTATAAAAATACTCTTTATTTTTGAAAGTTGGATCTACATCTGGAGACTGTGAGCAGTGCTGCTGGCTCAGTGAGGATATGTTGATGTTCAGATAAAATGAATGCTTAAAATCACCATTGAAAATTGGATTGAAATTGAATAAAAACACCAATATGGCCAGTTTTTTAAAGTGAAAATGAATTGATCCAAATTATTACTGTGCAAAGAAATCTAGCGTTCAAACTAAAGTTTGGAAAAGTTTCAGCTTTTATATAAGTATACAAATATTGCATTTTTTTGTACACGGAAAATCAGCAAAAGTCATTGGCTGCTGGCGGTTAGTTTAAAGTGTGTGAACCTACCATAAACTCTCTGAGCCATCAAGTTCCATTGTTAATGTGTGGGAAAGAAAAAAAACAGTACAGTAACGAAACATGAATACAATACTTTGTCTGAAGCTGCCGTCTCCTCCCACACGTCACTGACATTAAGATGTCTGAAACCACAGAAAAACAGAGGTGACTATTCAAAACTTCAAACAATCATTCAGTGGATCTAAGAAAGGAGGGTTGTGTATAGAGCATATTTGTAGGGGGTGCCAAAGGTAAAATACAGCTTGCTGCATATGCCTGACCAATGGGTTAATTTTTTGCAACTTCGCAGTTTCATAACTGTTTTTGAAAACTCACATGGCTGAATTTATTTGATCAAAATACCGTAATATTGTGAAATTATTACAATATAAATTCTATTCTATTTGAATATATTTTAAGCAAAATGTAAGTCACTCTAATATGCTGATATAGCCTACCTCTCAAGAAACACTTATTATCAATGTCAAAAACAGTTGTGCTGCTTCATATTTTTGTGGAAACCATGAACACTAGGTGCCTTTAGATCTGTATTTAAACCATCAAAACATTGAATCATCTGGTTCTTTAAAAAGGTACAATAGGTGAAAAATAGGTACAAAAGGTATGAGCCTGCAGGTCTGGTCAGACAGCATTTGTATTCTCTTAGCATATACGGCTATATCTGGCCACATCCACACATGTTGCTTTGCATAAGGGGACTACAGACACCAATACACATTGTCTTAAATGTAGAGCCTATTTGTTTTGCAAATGCCCAGTCATCTATCTGGCACTGCCACAAAACCATCTATGCAATGAAATCCTGTCCTGTGAAGTGAAGAAGGAAACACTATGTTGTTTCTGTTTTGTGTGAGTGTGTGTGTGTGCCCGTGATGACCATCAGATAATTGCATGGAAAATATTTTAATTTTGATCACAAATGTCTTGCTTTGTCTCTGGCTGGCTAAAGAGCCTTTAATATTGCATGGCACAATGTTAGTAGGGAGTTTAAGATGTCAAATGACAGTGTCAAAGTGACTTAAACCTTAAGTGGAAAGAAAATTGACTCTGCTCATTTCATTTTAATGAAAGAGACACAGGCATTCCACTTACATTGCAAGGAATCACTAATAATAACTGGCTAATATGGCTAAATAATAAATAAAGCAGAGTGCAAAAATAAAAAAATAATTCTATAGTGTGCAAATACACTACAGGTCAAAAGTTTAGAATATAAGATTTTTTAATGCTCACAAAGGCTGCATTTATTTGATTAAATTATTCCTGTGATGGATATTAGAATTATTTCTGAAGGATCATGTGTCACTGAAGACTGGAGTAATTGCAGCTAAAAAAATCAGCTTTTCCATCAATGAGTGACTTATATTTTAAAATATATTTTAAAAAGAAAACAGGTGTTTTAGATTGTAATAATATTTTGCAATATTTCTGTTTTTAATCGATTAGACTAAATGCTTTTTCCACATTTTCCTTACTGTTTTTGGGGAAATACTGCAAAACATAAAACAAAAATTAATAACAATAAATAAATATTAAATACAGTATTGTATTTTTAAATATAATATTTTAAATATACATACAAAGATACTTACAGCTTTGACCATTGCATCATTCTGTGAGTATTTGTAGGTTGCAGATTCTCAGTGGGACTTAACGAGATGCCAGACAGAGGAGGCTTCCTTGTTAGCTTGTAAAAATCTTAGCAGCCAGACAGCCATGATACAAACACAAAATAGATGCTTGACTTGGCCCTGGCCCTCAGTCTAAGAGCTGGGCATGAGGCTCAGCTTACAGCCATCACAATGAGCATTATTAGTGCTGACGTTAATATTGGGAAACAGGCTGCTGTGTTTGAGTGATATGCATACTTTGTTAGCCTTAGCCCAGGTCATTTCCTGGCACCTATTAGTGGTATATGTGTCTCGCTGATATTCACTCTTCTGCATTGTAGACTCAATGATACAATGGGATCAAATTTTGTGCCATCTGCTTAAAGGAATAGTTCACAAAAATTTTTACTTTGCTGAAAATTAGCTCAACTCCATGCCATCTAAGATGTAGATTAAGGAACAGATTTGGAGAAATGTATCATTACATCACTTGCTTTCCAATGGATTTTCTGCAGTGAATGGGTGCCGTCAGAATGAGAGTCCAAACAGCTGATAAAAACATAACAATAATCCACAAGTAATCCACACGACTTCAGTCCATCAATTCACATCTTGTTGAGCGAAACGTTGCATGTTTATGATAAACAAATTCATAATTAAAGCCATCATTAATTAACTTTAAACTGTTGCTTCTGACCATAATTCATAACATCGCTTCCTCCAGTGAAGAAGTCCATCTCCTGTTGTTCTCTCATATCAAAATACATCAACATATTTGTTTAGAACTGTTTGGACTGTTTTCACTTGTAAATGATGCCTGGTCTGTGCGCATTTCTGTCCTGATTCAGACAACACCACTTTTTCACTGAAGAAAGCAATATTATGGAAAGAGGACTCAATCCCAACCCTTAGATGAGATTGAAGTTAGTTGAAAGAAAAAAACATCTTGATGGATTTGTTTCTTACAAACATATAGCTTTTCACTTCTCAAGACGTTAACTGATGGACTAGAGTTGTGTTGATTACTTGTGGATTATTGTGATGTTTTTATCAGCTGTTTGAACTCCCATTCTGACGGCACCCATTCACTGCAGAGGTTCCATTGGTGAGCAAGTGATGCAAAACTAAACTTCTCCAAATTTGTTCAGCTGAAGAAACAAACTCATCTGCATCTTGAATAGCCTGAGGGTGAGTACATTTATAGTATACATTTATTTTTGGGTGAACGATCTTAGTCTATCCATATTATTTTGCAACACAGAAGTAAGCTGTTTTCTGTGAATGTGACTTTTGATTCATTAGTTGCTATAGGTAAATAACGAACTAAAACTATTTGCATTACAAAGCAGTGTGTTTATGATTCCGATAATACATTAAAATTATAACAAACACCAGATTGTAATATCAAGCTGCATAATAAACTGTTTTTGTACAGCTAAAATAACTGGAAGTTGATGACACTGGAAGTTACAAATGGCCACATCCGCTCTTATGTTAAAATAAGGTGGAAACAGTGTGTCAGGCCTATGGATGGGGCCTCCAGCTAGCTTGGCTGGATAATAGAGAAGGTTTGGAGTTTGGGTAACACTTTACTTGAAGGGGTGTGCATAAGACTGACATGACAATTTATAGTATACATTTATTTTTGGGTGAACGACCTTAGTCTATCCATATTATTTTGCAACACAGAAGTAAGCTGTTTTCTGTGAATGTGACTTTTGATTCATTAGTTGCTATAGGTAAATAACGAACTAAAACTATTTGCATTACAAAGCAGTGTGTTTATGATTCCGATAATACATTAAAATTATAACAAACACCAGATTGTAATATCAAGCTGCATAATAGACTGTTTTTGTACAGCTAAAATAACTGGAAGTTGATGACACTGGAAGTTACAAATGGCCACATCCGCTCTTATGTTAAAATAAGGTGGAAACAGTGTGTCAGGCCTATGGATGGGGCCTCCAGCTAGCTTGGCTGGATAATAGAGAAGGTTTGGAGTTTGTTATGTGGTTTATCCACAGTGCCCAATGAGAACGGGCAAATCCAAATAAACCACCTGTCCAGCAATGAACTTATTTAACTTGCGCTTTCAAGATGAAGCCCGACGTTTACTTGAAATATGCTTCAAAAGCACAACAGTTCCCTTTCACAAGGCCTATCCTCATAGTGCCGCCTGTTTATTTGGGTATGGTGACCATCATCCAAGCTCTTACTGGAAACAAGAATCCTGCAAAATAATTGGAGACACCCAAAGCAAACAGAAATCTGTCACACCCATAAATGAGGCCCATAAATGCAAATACGTTTGAGCAGTTCAGGATTACAGCAAGGGAAGTGAAATTCCTCCTCGGAGAGCCTGGGACTTCAAACGCTCTTTCACGAGGCCTGCATGCTCCACACCAACGTGCCTGTTTTTAACAGCGTGTGTGATGTCCTCATCATCTTAACACTGTCCTTTTTCACAGAAGGCATCTGTAGCTCCAAGTAAGTGTTGGATAAAAGCAAGAAAAAAGAAGTCAGCTCTTAGGGATTAATTATGGTATGCTGATATGAAAATATGAGCTCTGTGTGTTGATTTGCTGTGCTCATGGCTGGTTTTAGTGCTTGTCATGGTTTTGCGCAGAGATTGCATCCTGTAGATGAGGGAATCAAAGAGGATATTAGACAAGTTAGACTTTTTGGCATAATGAGATGTACCGGCATGAGGCAGTCTGCCGGAAGACCTGCTGGGAATCTGGGGGTGAGGAATGGGCTCAATTTTAAGTCATGGCAGGGAGTGAGAGGTCTTAAAAAGTTATGAAGTCTCTGAAGATAAAATGTAGTTGCAGTTTCCTCATTTTAGCTCATTTCAGAAAAGCCCATAATTGAGATGGCTAGCACCTGATAACATACAAGAATTATTTGCTTTTCTAATGCTTGTTCTCTGCTGAATCATATAATCATGGGAAAAAGCTTTAGCATTGTTGCTTTTTAGCCATAAAGCTGAAGATTAATCACAGAAATGTCCTTTAAAGGGGTCATATGATGCGATTTCAAGTTTTCCTTTCTCTTTGGAGTGTTACAAGCTGTTCGTGAATAGATACGATCCCTAAAGGTGCAAAGACTAAAATCTCAAACCCAAAGAGATATTCTTTATAAAAGTTAAGACTCGTCCACGCCCTCCTAAAACGCCTCGTTTAAGCATGCCCCCACATGTCTATGTCACTGTGTGGGAAGATTTGCATAACACCGCCCAAACGTATACGCAAAGAAAGAAGGCGTAACTTTTATTCTGGCTGTAGTATTGTTGTTGCCGCCGCGGCCATGTCGTGGAGACGCTGTGTTTCGTTGTGAAAGCGAAACTACTTTGTTTGGCCTTCCAAAAGAGGACACGACTAGAAATCAGTGTTTAAGTTGTATTTACAACACTGTTCCAGAACAGTTCAACCCAAATATTTAGATGTGTGCAGCACATTTTACGGAGGACGAGGACTGTTTCCTGGGAGAGTAGACTACAATGCCGGTGTTCTGACAAATAATGCTGACTCACAGCCTGTAAGTACGTTTTCATATTTAAAGAATTTGCCACTGATGATTCAAACGTGAGTTTTGAGCAGTGTAGAGTAGCGCTTGTTGTTTGTCGTTTCTCCGATCACAAATGCAGACATGGTTTTATGTTTACGCGGCACGATGCAACGCAACGCGGAAAAAGGACAGTATAAGTCATTATAATCACATTTTAATTATGTCCCCACTGGATGCTACAAATTCCTCGTTTGTAATGGGTTTTATTGGTTTTGTCTCGTCGCACCGGGACATGACATCACAGTATGGTAAGGGGCGTAACATTTCCGTCACAAGCTTGAGGTATTCGGCCAATCACAACGCACTGGATTTGTAAAAATCGACGCGTTTCAGAAAGGCGGGGCATAGAGGAGAAACAATAATGTACAGTATGTGGAAAATCATGTGTTTTTTAACCTTAAACCGCATAAACACATTTCATTACACCAAATACACAAAATAATGTTCTTTTTTAGCAATGTCATATGACCCCTTTAAGCATGTTTATGATTAGAAATGGTTAGTATTGGCCATGTGACAGTAGAAGTGCTTCAATAGTAGAGATTTTGCTGTACTGTTTATCCCACACTATGGGTATGTTTACATGAGAACAGTGTACTAAAAACTAAAAAGTTTGAGTGCAGATGACAACATTGTCAAAACAATCCTCATTCACACAGATCCATGAATGCTGTATTGTGCATGCCAGGCCAGTAGTTGGCGATATCACTTTTTTAAAAAACAACTTTCCTGCACACCAGTGTTGCCAAATCTGCGGTTTTCCAGCGGAATTGGGCTACTTTAACACTGTTGCCATGGGTTGTTTTTCATGTCCGCGGGTTGAAGTGACCCCAAAAACATAATATTTTGTCCCTGAAATGTGAATTTTACCAGGGGTTCCCCACCAAAAAATACGTATTTTACCCCCAGGAACACAAGTTTTACTGGGGGACACCCCTCAAAACGCAATTGGGCTAGTTTTGGGCTATTTTTGAGTAGCAATTGGGCGGGTTTTGTTGTGAAAACCTGGCAACCCTGCTGCACACATACCTGTGGACTGAACACGTAATATGCATGTGCATGACGTTACCATTTGTAATTAGACCATGCCATGCTGGTTTCGTCTGGCCAGAGGAAAACGGGCCCCCAGACTGAGCCTGGTTTCTCCAAAGTTTTTTTTTTTCTCCATTTCTGTCACCGATGGAGTTTTGGCTTATTGCCACTGTTGCCTTTGGCTTGCTTAGTTGGGGACACTTAATTTCTGTCAATATTTTCGACTTGATTGCACAGATACTATTTGAACTGAACTGAGCTGGACGATGACATCACTGAATCAATGATGAACTGACTTTAACTGGAAAATTGAGTGTACTATTGTCCTCTAGCACTATCGACACTATTTTCCTGTTTAATACTGTAGAGCCGCTTTGACACAATCTGTTTTGTATAAAGCACTATATAAATAAAAGTGACTTGACTTGATGATATGCCCCCTGTATTTGCAGCATTATTTTGAAAAAAACAACAACAAAAAACATTGAAAGCAGAAAGCCGTTCATTCACAGGTGTGGATATACACATTTTATTTATAATAAATATAAACAAAATGTAAATAAAATCGCATACCACACATATTCTATGCATTTCATTAATATTAAGGAATTAATTTTAAAAGGTTACTATAAAAAAAATATTATACAATATTTAATATGGTGACAGAATGTTTTTTTTGTTTTGTTTTTTTGTGATCGGATGATTCCTTATCAGTATTTTCTTTGTTTTTGGTTTGCAGTTTGTGGTGACTATGTTCTGGACGCTTTACGTGTATGACAGAGATTTGGTATATCCAAGACTCCTGGACAACTTTATACCTCAGTGGCTAAACCATGGCATGGTGAGTGGAAAATTGCTTTCTTTTCTTTCTAGACTAGACTGTAAAATATGTTTGCCAGTTTCAAATCACTGACATTTACGGACGGACGGACGGACGGACGGATAGATACACTCTCAAGCAGAAGCAAGAGAAAAAGTACATTTTGTTCTTTTTTCTTAAGCCAAATTGACGTCAGATGTGAAATGCTAGTCATTGTGCAAACATTCATTTCAATCAGGTGGAACAAAAGCTTCAAGGTGGGGTCCAAGTTGCAGGTCTTGTTTTTTTGACAGGTGAATGTGATGTTAAGTGTGACAGCATTTTTAGCCGGTGTTTTTCCAGTTGCATGTTGACAACAGACAGCAAGAATGTTTACATCCACATATTGTCACGAATGCAGCATTAATGCATCTTCAGAAGTGAAAAGACTTCACTGCAATTAGTTTAGAAGCGTCTCTACAAGAGATATTTAATAACCTAAATGCTTCCATATTGAATCCTTCTTTAATCTGCTCAAGTGGCCTAGACGAAAAAAGGTTTTGGGACCTAGAGGCTTCTGATAGATTGATAGGAAATACAACTCAGAATGAGGCTATTACTGGAAATGTGGTTGGATGTCTCAGTCGTCGCTAATCACAGGATGTATTCGGGTGACTTGGGTATCTGTCAATATTTTCGACTTGATTGCACAGATACTATTTGAACTGAACTGAGCTGGACGATGACATCACTGAATCAATGATGAACTGACTTTAACTGGAAAATTGAGTGTACTATTGTCCTCTAGCACTATCGACACTATTTTCCTGTTTAATACTGTAGAGCCGCTTTGACACAATCTGTTTTGTATAAAGCACTATATAAATAAAAGTGACTTGACTTGATGATATGCCCCCTGTATTTGCAGCATTATTTTGAAAAAAACAACAACAAAAAACATTGAAAGCAGAAAGCCGTTCATTCACAGGTGTGGATATACACATTTTATTTATAATAAATATAAACAAAATGTAAATAAAATCGCATACCACACATATTCTATGCATTTCATTAATATTAAGGAATTAATTTTAAAAGGTTACTATAAAAAAAATATTATACAATATTTAATATGGTGACAGAATGTTTTTTTTGTTTTGTTTTTTTGTGATCGGATGATTCCTTATCAGTATTTTCTTTGTTTTTGGTTTGCAGTTTGTGGTGACTATGTTCTGGACGCTTTACGTGTATGACAGAGATTTGGTATATCCAAGACTCCTGGACAACTTTATACCTCAGTGGCTAAACCATGGCATGGTGAGTGGAAAATTGCTTTCTTTTCTTTCTAGACTAGACTGTAAAATATGTTTGCCAGTTTCAAATCACTGACATTTACGGACGGACGGACGGACGGACGGATAGATACACTCTCAAGCAGAAGCAAGAGAAAAAGTACATTTTGTTCTTTTTTCTTAAGCCAAATTGACGTCAGATGTGAAATGCTAGTCATTGTGCAAACATTCATTTCAATCAGGTGGAACAAAAGCTTCAAGGTGGGGTCCAAGTTGCAGGTCTTGTTTTTTTGACAGGTGAATGTGATGTTAAGTGTGACAGCATTTTTAGCCGGTGTTTTTCCAGTTGCATGTTGACAACAGACAGCAAGAATGTTTACATCCACATATTGTCACGAATGCAGCATTAATGCATCTTCAGAAGTGAAAAGACTTCACTGCAATTAGTTTAGAAGCGTCTCTACAAGAGATATTTAATAACCTAAATGCTTCCATATTGAATCCTTCTTTAATCTGCTCAAGTGGCCTAGACGAAAAAAGGTTTTGGGACCTAGAGGCTTCTGATAGATTGATAGGAAATACAACTCAGAATGAGGCTATTACTGGAAATGTGGTTGGATGTCTCAGTCGTCGCTAATCACAGGATGTATTCGGGTGACTTGGGTATAGCCCGGGGCCAATGACAACACACGTAGCGGTTGCTAGGGGAGCATGTCTCGGTTATTAATCAACATGAATGTAACCTTTGAGCCTAATCAGAAATTGTCTCTATGTTTAATGTGCAGTGGCATTATGAAATCACATGCAATTGGATTTTCCGCAAGGTTTTAAACCTTTCAACATTTGTCATTAATAAACATTAGACTGTACATGATTTTTAGGTTTGGTTTCAGGCATGTGTTAAAAATGTACATTTCATTTCTTCATATTTCCTTAACGATTTTGGTTGACGGTGACCCCAAAATGAGTCGAGAGTCTATTCTGTTCACAGGGAAAAAACAATGTAAATGATAAAAACTATGATCATGCATTGTAAGGATGGCAAGATCAAAAAATGTTCAACCCCAAACACTATAGGCTGCTCAAAATCTAAATTTGGTATATCAACCTTAATTCAAGGATTTCAGTGAAGAAAGTGCTCTTTCCTGCTTTGGACAATGGTTTTCTCCAGCCAGTGAAGGAACAGAGGTCTTGTGATCTAAATACAGTTGTGCAGCTGAGGACTGACCCACGGGAGAGAACTACCTTCCAGCTGAGAACAATTTGTGCTATGCAGAAAGTTCCAGATTATCCCGCCTGTGACTGAAAGGGGTTACTCCATTGTAAATATTTTGAAGCATTCCATGGTACCACATTTGTTTGTTTACCCATGCTGATATGGCAACGGTCTTCTGTTCACTGGCTGCTCTGACAAAAGAAACAGTGACTAAGCCTTGTTACTGTTAGGCACAAAGTCGAGGCTGAGCATGAGATTATCAATGTGACAGATATGTCTACAGATATTCAAACAAAAAAATAAATATGACAAATATATATTTAAAAAAATTAAGACCATTTAGACTGCAAAGCAACTTTGCATAAATAAAAATAAGAATAAGAATAAATTCTTTAAAATTATGCAATTAATTAAATAACTAAAATAAATCATAACAATAAAAGTATCATATTAAAAATAAACATGAAAAATATATTTAAGAAATAAAGACCATTTAGACTGCAAAGCAACTTTGCATTAATAATAATAATAATAATAATTTTCTTGAAAATTATGGAATTAATTTATGAATTAAAATTATAATATTAAAAATAAATATGAAAAATATATTTAAAAATTAAAACCATTTAGACTGCAAAGCAACTTAGTATAAACAGAAATAAAATATTTGTAAACTATAAAATGAATTTATTAACATAAATTATAATATTAAAAATAACTATGAAAATATATTTAAAATGAAGACTATTTAGACAGCAAAGCAACAACCATAAATGATAATAATACTTTTCTTTAAACTATAAAAGCAATTTATAAATTAATTAATTTTATAAATATATAAAGACCATTTAGACTGTAAAACAACTTTGGAATAATAATAATTATTATTATTATTTAAAATATTATTATATTTAAATTAATAATATTAACTAAATGGACTACAATTATATGATTATATGTTTTTATTGTAGTCTAATGATCGAGAAAATCAATCTTGATTATTAGTGTCAACCCTCTATTTTATCCCATGTGCCTGTCAGTAAAACACCCACAGCAGGGCATTTATGAATCCTTTACACCTTGATGCACTGAAAGAGAGATAAGCTGTTTTTCACAGCTTCCCTAGAAATTAGGCCACAACAAACTATAATAGCACTGGACAACTGCTCCTTTTAAGTCGTTTCATTTGAATACACTAGACATATTTATATTTCTGCTGGTGCATGCAGCTCATGGCTACAAAAGTCCTTTGAAACTTTCAGGGACTCTCTAGATATACAGTAGGTAGACACATGCAAATATTTGCAAATATTAATCACATCACTAGAATTTGAAAACTTTGTCTCTGTAAGTGCAGACAGGAAGCAACATGAGAAAAAAACGGAAATAAGATTTAAGAAAAATAAAAATTTCCCCAAGTGACAAGGGAAAAAACATTTTCCCTGTTTTGAAGCTGTCAGCGGCGTTGCTGTATATTTGGCAAGCCTGTCAGGACTCATAATGTGGCGATAACAATCAAAACAAAGCCACTTCAAAAAGACTTAAAGAAGCCTCTGCTAAGCTTTCATGGCATCATCGGGAGGCGGTTTACCTGCGTCAAAGTATCTGTGACAATAATCCCTTCTCCTCTTTGTAATTACTGCGCTGCAGAGAGAGGCCTGTCAGAAGAGCGTTGCGCTGCTCAAATGTTAATGCCAGTGGCCTCCCGCTGAGCAGCCCCCATGTTCAAACACGTACCGCAAATAAACATCTTACACCTGCTTAGAAAAGACACCACCGCTGTACATCTCAAAATAAAAGTACAGAAGACCCAGAGAAGCCGACTTCCCACGTGAAGGTATTTTCTGGAGTAGAACGCCCAGTCTGAGCATTTAACTTTCCTCATATATAATTCAGCAGGTAGCATTTAAACGAAACAGGTCATTGTGCACAGGGGCTTTTATGACTGATTACCTGTGGTAAACAACCCTCTGTCGCTCCTTAATTCACACTGCTAATTGTTTAGGGGAAACAAACACAGTACACGGACTGTGACCTTGAACACACATGGTTCGGCTAATTAATCATGCAGTAAGTTCAAAGACAATCAATATTTATGACCGACTTACAGTTTCAAAACTTTCAAAAACATCCGTCGCTGCAACAGAGAACGATTTTTACGCATGTATCCCATTTAACTAAGCACTATAGGTCAGTAATGAATTCCAGTTGCAATTCCCGGCTTCTTTTGGCCTGTAAAGAAAAACTCACACTGAGAGGAAGCAGACTTTGCTCTTTAAAATGAATTGTCTCTCAACCTGTCTGTGGCATTTCTCTACAATTCCTTCTGCTGGATTTGTGGGATGTTGTTTAGAGTAGAAAATAGCTGTGCCCACAGGCCAATTTGAAGAGTGCTCTCCTCCGAAAATTGTCTCTAACTGTACGCTCCTGCTGCGAATACCAGTATGTTCAGACTGTGGGGATAAGTGTTCCACCATTTACAGTAATAAGAATCCATCCTCCGAGCGAGAGGAGAAATCCATCCATGTGACTGAAATCGATCAATGTCACCGTCTGTGGCTGTGCTAAACTGATCCGGGCTCCTGATGCACTCCAGTGGTGTTTTCTCTGCATCTAATAACATGTTGGGTTTGCAACTGTCAGAGGAACCTCAGACAGACTAGCTTCTGCTTAACCAACGCTATTACCCAGACCGTCTTTAGGATACCGCGAGGATAAGAACCAGATGTCAGAGCATATCAACTTTTTTCAGGCTTTGCTTCACTTGAAATGTATCGTACGAAATACGTACGTACGGAATTTTCTATTTTACTTTATAACTGTTAATGTGCTAGCTGGTATACTTTTGATATGTTTAATAGCATAAAATATTATTTTAAATTTTTATAAAATAGCATATTAACTTTAGAAGCCTAAATAATTTGGCAACAAATAAATAAATAAATACTACAAATGGTGCAACTAAATATGAAACTAGAAAACATTTTTATTACTTCAGTACTAACTAATATAAAATATAAAATAACTAATACATTATTTTAACATGACATTGCAACTAGATATCAATAATACTAGACAGACTGTGCAGAACAATTGTACTCTGTTAAACTTTTTTAAATGATACCAGCTAACAAATTAACTTTGGCAGCCCTAAAAAATTCAATTCAACAAATAAATAAATAAACTATAAAAAATAAAATACAATAACAGTGCGAAAATTAAATACATGAATTAAAATTTTTAAATGTAATTAAAATGAATTAATTTTATATATAAAAGGCAAAGTTCCCCCCTAAAATGAAATTTTGTCATCATTTATACAGTACACCCTCACTTAATTCTAAAACTCTGTATGACTTGCTTTCTTTTGTGAAACACAAAGGAAAAGAAACGGAAAATATTCAACTGTTTTTGTCCAAACCAATTCGGTGGAGTAAATGATGATAAAATACACCTAAATTCAATATTATTCTGGCTCAGCACCCATAAACTGGATGCAAACTACCCATCCATTATCATACTGGCCAAGTATACAAACCAAAAGGTCTGTCTGAATACTAGAAATTACAATTTATGCAGGCTAGTAATCACCTACAGTGCCCAGACCCTGATTCATAAGTGTATTATTGAATTATTAGTATTAGTCTACATAAATGCAAAAATACGTCAGGCTGTTGACAGATTGCCATCTGGTGGTCATTGCCAACTTGGGTACTGGTCGAGTACAAGCTCAGACTGTAATTCCCCAGACTGCTGCAAGATGCAAAATCATTTTAATGACATGTTAAAACAAGGCTCTCCTTCATTAT